CTTGTGAGGCATAGACATGATCAACTCAAGCATGTGAGATGCATGTGAAGGAGATAAACCTAACTTACCAGAAGTGATATCTCATGATCATGATCGAAAAGGTTGCATATTGGATAAGGAGAAAGACTCCTTACACAAAGAGAACACTGCTTAAGAGAAGGATAGAGTTAGAGGAAGAGTTCAACTAGAACTGTTCCACCATGGAAGAGTAGCATCAGAATTCTAGTTCTCTAATTACTAACTCCATAAATATTAGTGTTGTTCTTTTTTACAGATAACACACATAAGCAGAAGTTAAACGTAAATTGAGAGCAAAATAGCAAGGCAATTTTGCAAGCAATTTGTGTGTGATTCAAGCGTGCAAACCTGAAGCTACTTGAACCAGATAGAAGAACCAGTTCCAAGTGTCTGTCTTTTATTCTAGTTCAATTGTAGTAGGTAGTTTTCATATTGTACCTTTCAGCTTATCTAGAAGCAACTGTATTAGGTACTCAGAGTTTTCAAGTTAGAGTAAACTTGAAGTTGTCTCAACAGTTGAGGCTGTGTGCTACAACGGGATTAGAGTTAATCCTAGGTTTACAAAAGAGTTTTTGTAAATGCAGTTTTTGGCTCAGTGATTTTAGTGGAGAGTTTGGGAAAATCCTACTGGAAAGTAGGTCGTGATTTTTTCACCTTTTGAGCCAGGTGTTTTCCACGTAAAATCTTTGTGTTCTTTAATTCCTGTACTTATTATTCCGCAACAGTGGTAGTTGGAACACATAGAAGAACCAGGTCCTTCTATAATCAAGTTAAGCGAAAAATTGGGTACCACACAAATCACCCCACCTCTTGTATGGTATTGAAGTATAAAACATCAAGAATATATGCAATCATTCTTTACTTTATTCATAAGGTTCTAACCGCAATTCTGGGAGTGATTACCAATATTTCTTTCCTTGTCCGTTATTTCCATTATTTGTATTAATCTTTAAATTATTGGGAAAGTGACGAAAATCTTGGTTATTAGTAACCCGATTTCTTCTTGATATTGACTTTGACCAAGAAATCTATTTTTGGGTTAAACAGTAGGGCGGGTGGGCACGGGTGTGGTGCGGGGCAGGTGGACGCGGGCGTGGGGACGGGTGGACGTGGGTAAAAGTCTTATTCGGGGTTGGTTGCCATTTTGCGGGTTAAAACAGAACCCGCCCCGCACCGGTTGCCTTTCCTAGCTCCATATTGTGTTTGGTTCTCTTCTTTACTTTGATTGTTATCTCTGTTCTTTCCATTTTCCGTTGATAAAATAAAAACCATGATAGGGAAAGAAACTCTGAATTTCTTCTTGAATTTCCTCTTCTTTCCAACATTGAAAAGGGTTCACGAAATCCTGAAGATCATGACAAATGGTGTTGTGATATAGCTGAGGCTATTGAAGAGCTAAAGAAACAACTAGAATTAGCAGGACCTCTGGTTCTTGTGAGTTTTTTGCAGTACTTTTTGCAGATGATATCTATCATGTTTGTTTCTCACCAAATTTCATAGACAAGTCATAAAAATTATAATGGAGCTGTAGCGGGCTCCGGAACCAAAATACGGACCCAGTATCAACAAGACCAAACATCAATCAATTCTTAAAACCATTAGACTTTCAGACTTTCAATTTTCAACATCAATTCATATCTCGAGCTAGGGACCTCGGAATTCAATTCCAGGCATATGCGCAGATCCCAAATTATGATACGGACCCACCGGGACCGTCGAAACACGGGTCCGGGTCCGTTTGCTCAAAACGTTGACCAAAGTCAACTCAATTTAACTTTCAAGGCAAAAATTCTTGTTTTTATCAGTTATTAACATATAAAACACCCGGACCGCTCACGCAAATCTGGGAAGGCTATAATAAGATATTTGAGGCTTCGAAACACAGAATTTAGTTCTAAAACATGAGATGACCTATCGGGTCATCATAATTCCAATGTGGTCCGCCGCAATGACGACATCCTGAAGGGGCTATCTCCCCCGATCATTGTTGTTTGACGCAACACTATTGCTGCCTGAGGAGGGAGCCTTAGATTTGGTTGCACTCCGATCTCCCCCACTTCTGCTAGGGCCACCATTGCTGGGCTGGCCCCCTTTGTATCCCGCTCGGGCAGGCGGTTGAGACCTATTCTTCGGAGCTTCCACTTGATAGTCCCCAAGGCATTCAGTTGCTTGGATCGTCTTGGGTAGGGTATCTACCCAAGAAGGTGAAGAGTTTGTCTTTGTCCCCATGTCACGTATGTTCAGCATGAGCGCGGAGAATTCCTACACGTAATCTCGTACTAATTTGGTCTGGCGGAGCTCCTGTAGCTTTCTCCTTGCATTGTATTCAACATTTTCGGGGAAGAACTGTAGGCGTATGGTTGCCTTCAATTCTGCCCATGTCTGGAGAGCATCTTCACCGGCCTTGATGGCTTCGTACAACACCCCCCACCAAAGTTTAGCATCACCCTGAAGATACATGGCAGCAGTTGGTACCTTCTTAGCTTCTTCTAGGCCCCTCACGGCATCGAAGTACTGTTTGATGTCAAAGATAAAGTTTTCCACTTCTTGGCGTTCCGAGCTCCACGGTATGGATTTGGCTCAGGAATTTTCAGTTTTTGTGTCGCGGAGGCGAGTTTCACAGCACCCCCGATTCGGTTTCCGCCTCCTCGAAGCAGGCCTTGTAAAGCAGCATTGACAATATTGAGCTGGCCTATCAAGTTGTCTATAGTTTGTTGCATGGCAATCACCCTGTCTGCCTCTTGTGCCCTGTAGGCTAAATCCTCAGAATTCTCCTGTTGGAGGCCCTCGAATTTGCCAAAATTTTGGCTACCTCTGTTGTTGCCGTTTGCCGGTCTCCTTCAGAGTTGCGACTGATGTTTTCTATGTCAACTTCGGCTTGGAGCATTCTGCGGCCAGGTCGTCCAACCTTTGCACTAGGCTGGTTCTTCGTTCAGGCATCATTTCCATGATGGGCCGTAATACGTCAACCGTCTCTTCAAGGGCCGCAATGCAGTTCCCATGATTCACCATGGTCCGAAATGGTGGTAATGGCAATATGTTCCCTCGTCCGATGTCGAGCCTAGGCTCTGATACCAACTGTGACGCGGCGCCTTCCTGAGATTCCTTGGAAGGGCGACGTAAGGCTAAGCAACTGATGTCAGTGCAGTTACTATCCGCCAACTGAGGTCCCCTCCGTACGCTAGACGAGATTGTCAGTGCCGTATGGGAAAACCAATGTCAAGAGAAATTGAGAGAACAGAAATGAGAATTGAGAATGAAAGAAAGCTTGATTGCATTAATGAAAGCTATTGCAGAAAAGCAACACGGAGGAGGAGAGACACCAGTACAGAGAATTGTTCGCTTGCTAGAAAGTTTGATTGCTTGATCCCCCTAATAGTGCTTAAAAAAAATAAACCAAAGTTACAAGACTAGAACTAACTAAGCTAGAGAAACATAAGCGAAGTATATGAAATAAAACTACTCTATATTTACAATGAAAAGGACTTAGTTTTCTACAAGGTTGAAACAGGTCCATTGTTAGCAACCTTGTCTTTGGCATCACGGTCTGCGCGCGCGACACTGTTGGTATCTGCCTGCGGCTGGGCGCTTGCGAGGGATATCGGTGGGGGGCAGCGGCACATGCACGCTTGTCACTTGACGTAGCCAAGACCACGGGGCCGTCCGTGGCGCTAAGTGTTGGGAGGCTTGCTAGGATGCCACGGGGTGCGTCCAAGGGGTCAAGGGGCATGGGTGGAAAGCCACCCATGACAAAATGACAGACAACGTTCAGCCACTAGTGCCTCTCTTAGAAGAATGAATGCAGTTGCACCAAGAATGGCAGATGTTCTCATTTAAATGTAGTCACACTCTTGAGTATTAGTGAAATAATTGATTCACTAAAAAGTATTAGTATAAAATATTTCAGTATTTTCTTCTTTGAGCAACTTCCTGCATTCCTTCATTTCATGTCCATAATTGTCACATTTCTCACATAGTACAGGCTTCCATTCATACACAACCTCTTGCTCCATTATTCTCCCATGTTCATTCTCAAACATTACTGAATTAGGATATTTTTTATTCAGCTCAATCTCTACTAACACCCTAGCATATGTCAACCTTTCCCTTTATGAAGTTGCATTATCTGCTTGGAGAGGTTTGCCAACCATCCCTGCTATCTTTGTTAACGCAGTTTTGCCCCAATACTTAATTTCCAGCCCAGGTAATCTTACCCACACCGGTATCTTTTCCATTTGAGTTTTGGTGAACTCTATATCTGTTGTCCATGCTCTAACTATAACTGGCTTTCTGTCAAACATTTGGACTCCATCCTCAATTACCTTGTTCCTGTCCTCCATATTATAGAATCGCACAATGAATACCCCTCTACTAGTCTATGCAACTTTATCTACTCCCATTTTCCCCCAAATTCTCCTAAAATATCCATCCATTACTGATTGTGGAGGATTGGACCCTAGAATGTAACATACCACCACTGATGCCCAATAATTCACCTCCTCTTTAATGTCTTCCAATGTTATCTTCACAGTCTCATGATTTTCTAATCCATTACTTAGATCTAGTCCCTCAGTATTCGGAATTTCCCCAACTACACGACTCCATGACTTTGTAGCTGAATTCAGTTGCGTACCTGTGCTCTCCTTTTCACTGATTTCCTCTCCTGCCAAATCAGCCCAGGATTTCCTCCCCGAGCTTGTAGATCCATTTTCCTTTTCTGCATGCATGATACTGTTCCTTTGTGGTGTTCTCTCCGATGTTGCTATGGTTAAGTCCAGTGGTGTGATGCCTTGAATTGCGTTTATACTACATTGTTTCCTTGTGTTTGCTGAGTCCGGAACTCCTAATTTCGCCATTGTTAGCGATTGATTGTTCTGATTTCCTCCTCCTCTAGGCTTAGATTTTCTCGTCATCAGCAGACCTGAGAGAAGCTCTCATTCTAGAGAGAGAAATTTCTTAGGTATTTTTAAAAAAAATATTTAATGCTCAAAGAAGAAAAGGAGAAGCAGAAGGCAACAACAATGAACAGGGGGTGGGGAATGTACAGGATAAGGAGACTAATACTGGAAAGCAAAAAGAAACAGAGGCCAAGAAAACTAATGAAACAGGAGTGGCGACTAAACAAAACAATCAGATTGAGGGAAAGCAAGGTAATCAACAGAGGTTCAGGATTGGGAAATACATAGCCAAAGGAGTGACAATGCAGGACACAACTCTTAAACTAGGGAGCACCTTCTCTAGCTTAATGGAGCAGCAGGTAACAGAAGCAAACTCAGGAGAACCTACTTCTTCTATCCCCATAGGAGTACAAGGAGCAAGGGAGCCAGGACATGGTAGGGGTGGGGGAAACCCCCATCCTAATGGATAATATAGGCTTTTGGAATACCAGAGGACTAAATAACCCAGCCAAGCAAAGGGAGATACAGATTTTCATGCATAATGCTAGGGTGGGGGTATTTGGTCTTCTGGAAACAAAGGTGAAGAGAGCAAAAGCCCAACAAGTCTCTCTTCACCTATGTCAAGGCTGGGCATTCAACACAAATTTATCACAACATCCAAAGGGGGGGATATGGCTACTATGGAATCCAATGATTTATGGAGTCAATATTATAAGAGTAACAGCACAGCTTATACACTGTGAAATACAATATAGAGGGACTGGACACACATTTCATGTGACTATGATATATGCTTTCAATGATGCAACATTAAGAAGGGAGTTATGGCAAACACTTAAGGAAATAAATGGACAGATTAAAGGCCCGTGGGCAATAATGGGGGACTTTAACTGTGTTCTGCAGAAGGAGGAAAGAATAGGCAGCCCAGTCACTATGGCAGAAATACGAGACTTCAAGAAATATGTTGAGGAATGTGAACTGAAGAATCTCAAATCTACAGGAGCGTTTTTCACATGGACAAATAAACAAAGTGGAGGGGACAAGGTACTCAGTTGAATAGATAGAGTACTGGTGAATGATGAATGGAACCTGCAACTTCCTGCATCGAGTGTACATTATAGAAATGAGGGGCTGTTTGATCACTGCCCAGCAATCATAAGCTGGGAGCAGGGAAACAAAGGGCAGAAGAAGATGTTTAAATACTACAACATGTGGAGTATGGCAACAGATTTCAAGGAGAAAATTAGACCTGGTTGGAAGACAGAAAAGAAAGGCACCAAAATGTATGAACTAGTAGGGAAGCTGCATAGAATTAAGCATACACTACAGCAACTGAACAAGGACAAGTTCAATGAAGTCGAGAGGAAAGCAGATGAAGCAATGATGAGACTGCAAAATTGCCAAGAAAACATTCAAAAAGATCCTTATAACACTGTGCTGATAGAAGAGGAAATGAATCTATCCCAGGAATGCAGATCATGGTGCAAGGCTAGAGAGCAATATTTGAGGCAAAAGTCCAAAATACAGTGGTTGAAGCAAGGAGATATGAACACAAAAAATTTTCATAGCATGATGAAGGCAAGGAGAAACTCCAACAGAATCCTAGCTGTTGACAATACAGAAGGACAACATGTTACTGACCTAGAAGAGATAGCTAAAACATTTATAGTATTTTATGAAGGCTTGCTGGGAACTAAACAACAGGAAATAGATTAGGTTTGCAGTCAATTGGTAAGACAAGGGCCAACAATCTCAGATAGGCATAGCACAATGCTAATAGAAGACTTTACAGAGAAGGAAGCACTATGGGCCATTCATGGGGATAAGGCACCAAGACCAGATGGTTTTGGAAGTCAGTTCTTCAAAGATGGATGGGAAATTGTAAGTAAGGATGTGGTGGATGCTGTGATGGAGTTTTTCAAGAATGGGAAAATGCTCAAAGTGTGGAACAATACAGTAATTACCCTCATTCCAAAAAGTGCACATGCATCCAATGTAGGTGATTATAGGCCAATAGCATGCTGTAACACACTATACAAAGTTGTTTCTAAGATGCTCTGCAATAGACTAAGAATGGTACTGCCTGAGATCATATCTGAAAACCAAAGTGCATTTGTAGCTGGTATAAGTATTGTACAGAATATCCTTATTTGTCAAGACATAGTAAGACTATACAACAGGAAAGCTACTACTCAGAGTTGTTTGATCAAAATAGATCCAAAGAAAGCATATGACACAGTTGAATGGGGATTTGTAGAGGAGATGTTGTATGCTATGAAATTTCCTGGGAAGTTCATTAAATGGGTGATGAATTGCATATCTACCCCGCAATACAGTATAGCTTTGAATAGGGGATTGTATGGCAATATTCAGGGTAAAAGGGGATTCAGGCAGGGGGATCCTATATCACCACTGCTATTTGTTATTTGCATGGAATATTTCACTAGAATAATGAAGAAGGTAGCAAGCATGCCAGGTTTTGAATTCCACACTAAATGCAAAGGATTACAGTTGAACCATCTGTGCTTTGCTGATGATGTGCTACTCTTTTGCAAAGGGACATATCAGTCAGTATTGCTGATGCTAAGAGGGCTCCAAACATTTTCAAAGGCATCAGGTCTCTGCACAAATGCTGGGAAATCTAATATCTTTAGTGCAAATATAGAACAACAAAGCTTAATGGATCTGTGTGAGCTAACAGGTTATCAAAGAGGAAAACTACCATTTAAGTATCTGGGGGTCCCAATCTCAACTAAAAAACTGAACAACATTGACTGTGAAATGCTGGTGGACAGGATGACAGCAAGAATCAAAACCTGGGGATCTAAGCACCTCTCTTACGCAGGAAGAGTGCAGCTCATCAACTCAGTGTTACTGCATGTACACACCTACTGGGCATCCATCTTCCTATTACCAAAAGCAGTGATGAAAAAGATCAACACAATATGCAGGAACTTTTTATGGGATGAGAAGGAGATAAGAAACAGAGCACCAATTATAGCATGGGATCTGGTATGTAGACCAAAAGATGTGGGAGGTCTAGGAATCACAAACGGAGTATTATGGAATGAAGCAGCAATAGGTAGATATGTTTGGAACATATAAGCCTTGTATGTCTGCTTAAAAGATTGCTCTTGGTGGCAGTATAAGCCTCCTAAAGATTGTTGCTGGTACTAGAAGAAAATATACTCAGTGAGAGACAGGTTTGCACAGGGGTATATAGACCAAGGGTGGTTAATGAAAAATGGCAAGTATAGTATCAAAAGTGGATACCTATGGAGACTAGGAAGAGCAGAAAAATAGCCTTGGAGTAGGTGGGTATGGAGTAAAGAAAATGTCCCTAAACACAACTTTATATGTTGGTTGGCTAGGCATGGCAGACTACTAACAAGAGTGAGGCTGCAGAAGATGGGGATAACACAGGATACAATGTGCACAATATGTGATAGTGCACCTGAGACGATTGGACATCTGTTTTTTGAATGCCAATTCTCTAGAGCTTGTGTGCAGGCTATTGTAAACTGGTTGAACATTGGAATACAGAACACTACACTACAAGGAATGTGGAGAAGATTAACAAGAGGGGTCAAGGGGGAATGCTGCTGTCACGATCCATTTTTCTAAACAAGTCGGGACCGACATCCGATCACTAAACATGACCGAGCAAACCATCCGCGCTTATCAAATTTGTTATAACTTCAAACTTTATATGCAATAAGGCAATACTATAACCAAATCCTTTTAATTAATTTAAATACCTAAAATAAGCCAACTCCAAAACTTTATTCGTAGTAAACAATGAAATAATGCTAAGTTTTTTTATCAAAAACATCTGAATCTTAACCCACCGACCGTGTCTATGAAGCCTCTACTGATAAACTGACGCACTGCTCAGGACATGAGATTTCCTGTTGGTACAGTCTACTAGTACAGAATAGCGTAATAGATGACTCTAAGTAACTACGTCGACGACTAAAGACGAGACGACACCAACTACGTACTAGGAAGAGAGGAGTACGATAACCGAGCGTGTACGGACTGCAACAGTTGTCACGACCATTTTCTTAACTAAGTCGGGACCGGCACCCGATCACTGAACATGACCGAGCGAACCATCTACGCTTATCAAATCTGTTATAACTTCAAACTTTATATGCAATAAGGCAATACTATAACCAAATACTTTTAATTAATTTAAATACCTAAAATAAGCCAACTCCAAAACTTTATTCGTAGTAAACAATAAAATACTGCTAAGTTTTTATCAAAAACATCTGAATCTTAACCCACCGACTGTGTCTATGAAGCCTCTACTGATAAACTGACGCACTGCTCAGGACATGAGATTTTCTGGCCAGTTCTCTAAGTAAACAAAGCAATAGCTAAATAAAGATGACTCTAAGGGATACTCCACGAACAAAAGCGGAGCTCACCAATAGTACTGGAAGAGAGGGAAGTCCTAACCCGTAGCCTGTTCGCCTGCAAAACCGGTTCCTACGTTGTACCGCATACCAACGTAGGTTCCCAAAAGAGAACGTCAGCACCATCCATTGTACTTAGTGAGTCTCAACAACTGGGGATGGAACTTTAAAAAAAAATATACATTACGAGTAAAGATTCTAAATGCATGGGAAACATAAGCTTCTAAGAAGAATTCTAAAATACTTGCATAATAGCACTTTATGGATATTCTAAAAGAAATTCTTTTCTTTTTCTTTTTTTAAAAAAAATACTTCGCTTTATACTTTGGGAGTTCCAACTATCCTGATCTGTTTCTGTCTTAGTCACCATGTGATCAGCACAGGTTCGATCCCAATCTGATCGTAGGCTCAATCCACGAGGTGCCACTCACTTCATGGTTCTCAGCGCTCGTGTATCATACCTTAGCTTAGCTAAGTAAATTCTCAGCAACGAGACCCTCGGCTCGTGTGCTCCCTACTTTGGCACAAGTAGTTTCAGGAAGTCAACGTCTTGGTCAGGACCCTCGGCCTGGACGATGACCCCTTCTCAGAATAAAGGATACTCCCAAAAAAATCTTTTCTTTCTAAAACTTCTTCTTGTGACTTTTCAAGTCTAAATCTTTTCTTTTTGGAACATCATGTACATGCTCATGCTGGTATCCTTAAATGTAAATCATGGCATAAGAATGAAATAAACATCTAAAAGTATTTCTAAACATTCTTGCTTCTTCATAAATTTTCAACATGAAAATAGCATATAAGAATAACACAAAATCTGAAAATTTCTGCACATATATCATAATAAATCATCTTAACTTTTGCTAGAACAATTCTAAGTTAATAGGTACTCACTCGGTCCAATTAAGTAAATATAAACTCTTTTAAGCAATTCATCAAACACCTTGTATGCTTGCTTTTGTGAGTTTAAACCACTTTAGTAAAGAGTTATATC